CTGTGTGTGTTCATATATGTATGTATGTATGTATGTATGTATGTATGTATGTACGTATGTATGTATGTATGTATGTTTGTATGTATGTATGTATATATATATATATTCAGTCCGTTAGTCGAAAACGCAGTGTCAAGCAGGCTATAGCGAGTGTAGGTCGCAGACTGCCGAGCACTTTTTTGTCACTCATTGCACACTCAATTTCGAAGCATGAAGATTGTAGTATCCGTTATCTTTTGAGAGTTCACTTATTAGCATTCAGTATATATTAGAATTATCAATAAAATGATAAATATACTACGAACCCGAACACGTTTTTAAAATCATATTCGTAACAACGAGGACTTGGCAATGCATCAAGCTGACACTGTAATACGGTGTGAAAGAAACTTTAATAAGTTTTAGAATATATAATATACCGCTATAATGTACGAAGCGGTCTGTCGATTTATGAGCAACGTGTCATTTAGAGCGATGGCAGTCGGTTCGACGCCACACCAGGCCCCGTTTTATTGGCTCCTGATTGGTCGTCAGGGATTCGTCCGGCCTCGGGCGGCCCTGCATTCAACGGAGGTAATCCATTGCTCGGTGGTGCAGGTGGTGGGGATAGCTGACTGGGTGCCGCTAGCGGCGGTAGACCCAGCCCATCATTGCTTACGCGTCCTTGGGGCGGCTGTGTGAGTTTGCCACTATCCTTGTTAGGGTTCCTTGTCGACCTATCGTCGTCCCTATTCTCTGCTTGAGCCGCTTCAATGGCACTGCCTCCACGATGCAGTGTAGACGCACCGCTCGTATGTGCTATCCCGTGCGATTGCTTCTGTGGAGGTTCATTCGCACTGAAATACTTGTGCGAGGTTCCCTTGCCGTCACTCCCATCCTGCACCTGAGAAGACTGCCTAGGTCCCTGGCTCTGACCCTGGCCCTGGGGTAGAGCTGAATTCTCCTGCTGGCGTTGACTGTGCTGCATCTGCTGTTGTTGCTGTTGCATTTGGTGCAGCTGCTGTTGCAGCTGCGTTTGTTGGCGAGGATACTGTGCCTGAGGTTGCAGCACATGTCGGCCTCGCATTCGCTGATCTCCGCCACCACTACCCATTTGCGGCGGGGCTTGGCCCTGGTGTTGTGCTTGCATTTGAGCATTGTTTTGCATCTGCATTGGCGTACCTTGTTTCTGATGCGGCTGTTGTTGCTGTTGCTGCTGCTGCTGTTGTTGTTGTTGTTGTTGTTGTTGTTGTTGTTGTTGTTGCTGCTGCTTTTGATGGGCCTGTGCTTGTATCTGACCCGTGGACATGGCAATTGGGCGTTGATACCCCTGCCGACTCGTATCCCCACCTCTATCACTCCACTGTGTCTGGGGGCGTGGCCGGGATGGATCGCCGATCGCTCGTGACTGCTGCATCATGTGAGGGCTGCCATCGCCATACACACTCCCGCCACTTCGTTGTCTGATATTCGAGCTGTTATGACGTTGTAGCGGGTGGGACGGTCGCTGCTGTAATTGTTGGTGTTGATGGTGCTGCGGTTGCTGTTGTGATGGTTGCTGTTGTGATGGTTGCTGTTGTGATGGTTGCTGTTGTGATGGTTGCTGTTGCTGGGGTGGCGGTTGTTGTTGTTGCATCATATGCTGCTGCTGCTGATACTGTATCTGTGACATATGCGGTGACTGCCCCTGAGATTGTCCCTGTGTTTGCTGTATCCCCCCACCTACCCCTCCCTCCACAAAGCCTCGCTGCGCCATCTGCTGATCTATCCCCGGTTGGCCCATCGAAGGTGAGCGTATGCCTTTCGGCTGACCTTGGTACTGTCCCTGAGGTGCCTGTCCCTGTATCTGCGCGTGCCCGTGGCCCTGCACTGGGCCCTGGCCTTGCGCATGCACCTGCGCTTGACCGTGTGGACCGTTTGCATAAATTCGGGGCTGGTTCGCTTGGCCTTGTGGTAATGACGGTTGCGATTGCGATTGCGGTTGCGGTTGCGGTTGCGGTTGCGGTTGCGGCTGCAGCTGCCTCCTCCACGGCCCACCTTTGGGTGGTGGTGGGGGTGGCTGTGATAGCGAACGTCCCGTAAGCGGATGCTTCGGGTGCGGTGGCTTATTCTGTGCCTGGTGCGCCATCTGCATGCCGGGCTGTTGCTGCTGTTGCCCTTGACCTTGCTGCAGCAGCAGCAGTTGTTGTTGCTGTGTGTATATATGTGCAGCATTGGCATTGAGACTGTTATTGCGGTGGGCACGAGGCGGTGAGGCTGAGCGACCTGAATGCACGGAGTGCGCCGGTGAGTTCGAGGGTGATCTCATCTTCGGGACGCTTGTACCTGAGGGGTATCCGCCATGCGAAGGCGGCTGCACGAGCACATTGAAGGTGCCAGGCATGTTTCTGCTGTCACGGAGGCTGTTGTTGGCGTCGTGCATCCCACCCGCACCGGAGTTCGGATGCATACTGAGATTTGGTACAGACTGTGTGCCCATCAGGTTGGCGTTGAGGTCTTGTTGGCCGTGAGGCTGGCCATAGGGTGATTGTTGATGTTGCTGTTGTTGTTGTTGCTGCTGTTTCGGTTGTTGTTGTTGTTGTTGTTGTTGCTGCTGCTGCTGATGATGATGTTGTTGTTGCTGATGTTGTTGTTGTTGCTGCTGCTGCTGCTGTTGTTGTTGTTGCTGATGTTGCATCTGGTGCTGCTGTTGTTGCTGTTGGTGGTGCTGGTGCTGCATATTCTGCTGCGGCATACTATGCTGAGAGTGTGCAGACGGCGAATTGTATGCACCATAGCGCCGAGACTGCACCACACTCCCGCCATCCGATGCATTGTCCCCCATCGCATTTTTCGGTGTGTGTTGCTGCTGCTGCTGCTGCTGCTGTTGTTGATACCTACCATGGCTCAATACGTCCAGGGCCGCTCTCTCCGACGTACTGCTCCCGTACGCCGCCCCACCCACCGCAAACGGATGCGACGCACGCACGCGCGGAGACACCCCTTTATTTCCAGGATGTGCCTTCGGTTGCTTCGCCTGCTGTTGCTGCTGCTGCTGGGCTTGCTGAGCCTGCGATGGGTACTCGCGGTCACTGTAAGCCGGCGAGTTTGCTGGGTTGTTGGCATGCGGTGGTGCGTTCGCTTGCTGTGATGCATTGGGTGCGTATCCCGCATCCCCACTACTGCCCATGTACATACCCCCTCTCGGGTGTGCAGGCGAGTCCTGCTGGTGAGTCATGTACGGCTGTGATGGCCGGGGTGGCTGTGTAGGCGGCTGATTCTGCAATTGGGCTGGGCCGTCAGAGGCGACTGCGGCATCGCCGCCTGTGGTGACATCCCCTTCTTCGACTATCCAATGCGCAGACCTGTCTGAGCACACGCTGTTCGCTTTGGTGGCGCTGCGGTCAGATGGGGCGAGTCGCCTTGCGTCGTTCGGGGTCTATAGAAATACGGGGTATGCGCTTTGTTAGTTGAGTTATGTGTAGAGAGTGCCTTGGTGACTGGATCCGTGCCAACTTGTGTGAGGTGATTGATGACAAAGGTTCAGAGCTTTGTGGACGTTCGTTGGATAAATCTCGATATTCCGATGGCTAGAGCAAATTATCGATCAGATCTGAGAAATTAGTCGTAATATTGTACAGGGAGAATTTCTGTTTCCGGATCAAAAGCACTCGTGTGCACGTCCATATCGTTACCTGTCACCATAGGCGATTATGAAGTAGCACTGAAACACGTACTGACAGGCACTCGCACTCGCTACGTATCTTAAAACATGCAAAGGCACAGATTCGTGCAACACTATGGCGATTATCCATATAAAACCCCCAGCTTCTACGTCCCTTCGATATTTTAGAACAAATAGTCGAAGATTAGCAAGCAGCAGCGCCAGGACACTCACTAAACGCTGGATATGGACCAGGGGATTCATACTGTTGCCTCGACTCAGCCACCGCAGCACCGTCACGTTCACAGCCAACATATCACAGCCAAAAGGAACCCAACAGGCTCAACTGAATTAAGCATACTTCAGTACTTAGCTTATCTTTTCACGTGTGGACTTGCTTGTGTTTATCACGTCATATGAGAAATTATTATCTCGTATGTGATGTTAGACAGACTCAAGGATACAAATTCATCGGTGAACGTTTAATGCCCAGCGAGTCGTAATACAGCTTACATTCACACTGAACGAAGAAAAACAAACCCCGTACCTGTGTGCTTGCCATCTCCTGTTTGATCTCCGTTGCATTGCTGCCCGGGTGCTGTGGTGGATAGCCGGCGCGGCGCAAATATTCCCCATTAACTTGCGTTTGCGCATTCGGTTGCTGTGGTGAAGCGATTGGTTTGAAATGCTTCAGAAAAAACCCTACAACCTAAGAACCCTAAAACATCATTACTTTTCCTGGTGTGCGTGTTGCAATTGCTGTAGTAATCTAATGGAACCAACACACATCGTTCTTATGAGTTTATCGGCATGCAACATTACGTGACTAATGTGCAGGACAATGCGGGAGAAGGTATCTGCAATCCGAATAAACACTTCAATCAGCTATGAAGCTAAGAAAATTAAGTCGATACAATATGAGAGGCATGGCTGGAACCAATATGCTGGATGCAAAAGGAAAGGACTGGTGCACATAAACGTCATCTATCTATCAATCTCCACTCTTGCTCGTCGAATTTGAGAGCTGCATTTTTTTTGGGCAAAATACGTGCAAAAGCGGACAAATTCAACAAGCATGTAGGTGACAACGCACGAACATCTGAGAGAAAGATTACAACACGTGACGATGTCCAATTTTTCGCCCAGATAAGTCGTCATGGGCATATGGGTATGCTTCAAAAGACGTTTGATAAATACAATTACTATACACCTTCGTAAGCATCACGGGGTTGTACCAACGACTCTGCGTGTCACTCGAACCTGACCGCTTTGTGAGATATGATGCACATACGCAACTGGCAGCTCAACGCAACCCTATGCACAGAACGACACCCAAACTCTGCTAGCGTCTTAGTCCGTGGTAATACGGATCAGTACAGACGTGTGCCTTGCACTCAGTCTATGACATTCTTGTATTTCGACTGACTTGGCCCTTGGAGCGGCCTTCTATTATACGGGTGTACAATCGGAGAATACATATGTACGAAAAATACAGAGAAAGACGTTTGTGCTTGTATGCGCCCGTATACAAGGATATCCAAAATATTCAAAAACACAAACCATAAATTTTTATGCTTGTACTATACATACATACCATGCACACATACTATATCGTGTTTTGCTAAATACCTGCAGTTGTTTTGAAGGGAACCCTCGACGCTCGTCCCCTTGCGCCTGCTCTCCGTCCCGTTCACGAACCCTATCTGCCACGCCAGGGTTAGGTGGTCCTCCAGGATAGCCAGGCATGTTGGTACTTGCCATTGACGCGCCGCTGGACTGTCGGTAGAACACACCCGAGGGCTGTACACAAGCGAAAAGGTGCCACAGATATGCATAAGTGTGTCTTGTATGTACTTTCACACGTATGGACGAGGGTCAGCGTTTGTGTGGGTTTTGCACATACCTAGTGATGTTTTAGTGGTGTGTTTATATGTGTATGTGTGCGCTGGAGTGTATTTATGCGTTCGTGTGAACGCTTAAGATATGCGTAAACGTATCTTGTATGTGTACTTGCACCCGTATAGACGATGCCTAGTGGTGTCCTGATGGTGTGTGTGCGTTGGAGTGTACATAAAGGTTTGAGTGAGAGCTTACGTTGTGTCGAAAGTGTGGGTAAACGCTGCACAGCGCGTAATAGACTAAAAGGTCGAGCAAGAGAGGCATATCTCGCGCGCCCACGGAAGCCCAATATATTTCACAGCAACATCTGATGCTTAAGAGGCATTGCGTATACATAAACCACAAGCCACCTATCGACACCGAACCTAGCGATCATATATTCTCAATAGACACACGGAGTACAAGCCACCTATCGACACCGAACCTAGCGATCATATATTCTCAATAGACACACGGAGTACAAGCCACCTATCGACACCGAACCTAGCGATCATATATTCTCAATAGACACACGGAGTATACACAGATCACGATAAATCAATCGTGTTACATAAACCAACCCTCACCATCGGAGATAAGTCACTGATACTATCACGCAAACCCTTCTGTTTTGTTTTGGAGTTTTTTTTGTTTCTTGTTTTTGTTTTTGTGTTTTGGCGAGGTGAGAAAACGCTGAGCAGACACACTGGACACCGGCCGGTGCACCCGGTCCATGCCAGACCCATACACGCGTTGGTGAGCACTTTAACTTACCTGCTGTAGAGGTCGTGCAGCCGTAGACGACGCCATGTTCCCCTGTTGCTGCACATTTGCACCTGCATTCGGATTTGGATTGGCACTAACATTCGCATCGTACCCGTGGGGTGTGGGTGTCATGGACCTTGCCCGTGCGAAGGGGTGTGCGGTGTAGAGTCCTGGGCCTGTATTACCCGGCCATTGGACTTGTACGGGCACGCCTCGGTTGTTCATCTCCATTGTGGGCGAGTAGTTTTGGCTCCTACCGCCTGAGTTGCACAAGGTTATATATAGTAAAAATATGCATGAATCCAATGGTAGGTGTAGAAGCGCATGAACCTAGTGAGCCCGGGCTCAGATGCAGCCAAACAGTGCTTGAGTAGGCTTGGCAGTTAAATTTTCACTGTTACTTTGGTTGTGGTAACTTTAAGATTTACAATTCTTAAAGTTGACAATGAGCCAAACAGTGCTTGGGCAGACTTGGCAGTTAGATTTTCACTGTTATTTTGGTTGTGGTAACTTTAAGATCTACAATTCTTAAAGTTGACAATGAGATCACCAGTCTTTGGTTAATAAAAACAAATAAAGGAAACGTATATATGATGGTTCTCGGCCTAACTATACGCCTCGAGGGTGTGTACGAATAGTTCTGCGCCAGAGTCTCGACCATGTGATTTCAGATCGAGTAAAAAACTCAGCCAGCCGGAACAACGATAGATAACAAATCTTAAACATACACCAGAGATCTATATGGGTAAAAATCAATCTCGTTGGTTATGTACACATCCACGAACAAAGACTTTGATAAAACGCTGTCTTTCTGCGTGACAGGTTATACCAATCGAACGCCCATCGACATCCACAGGCACACACGTGCTCTCCGTCCTCGCATTTACCTGGCAAATTAGGTTTCGGTGCCAGCGCCAGATGACCTGTCGAAGACTCCCTGTCCATTCTTCTGTCCGCCATTGCACGATGTGAGCTCTGCTGTAGTGCTTGCTTCCCTGCTACAGTGTACGTCACCGAGTGTGACCGCGAGAATGGGTTGTGTGTCTGATCCTGCACACCCTTACCACCATCCTCAACTCCTTCGCCTTCGTCGCCCACCATGCCACTCCCGCCCGCCTCCCTTATCCCACCAATAATACTAGTATTCGTATTCAAATTATTAGTACTGTTGATACTACCAAAAGATCGGATATTCGTGCTGTTTCTGTGTGAACCTGGACCTACAAGCGAATCACGCGAGCGTGCGTCGGCCAGGCCCATTGCCGGGTGGTCGTGTGGAGCGTGTGAGTACACACTGGCGCTAGACATATTGCTATTCTGCTTCTGCATCACGTGCGCCATGGACCGACCACTCATACCAGAGGCTTTGCCCTTTGCTGGTGGATGGGCCAACTGTTGGTGCTGGGGCGGGAACTGCATGGGATGGTGTTCTTGATACGAACTCCCCTGCTGCTGTGCGTGCGCTTGTGCATGCGTCGGTATGTACTTCTCCGCACCCTGGTTACCCTGAGATGGTATATATGCGGAATTATCTCGCATATAAGACCTTCTGCCTTCCATCTCCAGATTGTTCAGTGTACCGGTGCTGCCTGCATTAGACAGCGGCCCATTTCCCAGCATAGGGCCCTCCCCTCCGATTGCCGCGGCAAGCAGCACGTCCACGCCACTCTGCTCCACTTCACTGACAGAGACGTTTCCCAGGCTCTGTGTGGATCGTACTGGCCCGTTTGTGTTCTCTCGTTCGTGGGGGTGTTGTACAGGCTGTGACTGTGACTGTGACTGTGTGTGCGCCAGTGCGTGGAGGTGGGCACGCGATGCGGTCGGGGACTGATGGAAGCTGTCTACCCGTTGCGCAGTCAGTGTGGGGATGTCCGAGTCTCTGTCTCTATGGTTCCCTGTATCAGATAATTCATAATTGTCATGGGCAACCATGGTTGAGTGCGATGTCAAAGCGATGTCCGTGTATTTTTAATACCATAGCGTAAACATGGGGGCGTCAATGAAATGGTGCCGAACAGAGCCCTGACCCACAGAAAGCCGTTCGAGCACTCAAAGTTAACAGTCAACGCACACCATTCATATGCAAACATAGGACTAACATGGTCGCGCAAACTCCGTCACATACCCGCATACCCACTGTGGTACGATCGTGGTGAATCAATCCAGTTGCCGTCCTTTACTCTGTCATTGGGCCCTCGCCCGCCAGCGTGTGGACGAGATTGTGTGCGTGAGTGTGCCTGAGAGTGCACACGAGTGCCTTTTGGTCTGCCGAAGCTCATGCTCATGCCTTCTCCGATGTCTCCTTCTACTATCTCACTCTCTTCCCAGCCGTCATCGTGTGTCGATTTAGACGCGAATGTGCGGTTGCGTTCTGCACGGAATCGGATGGTCGACGAGATGAACTGAGTATATAAATNTAAATATATATATATA